AGGGGGGGTGGAGTTGTCAGTTCAATAAATTCTCCCCGACTGCTCCTTTGAAGCGAGTGGATTTGGGCCTCTGGATGTCATCGCACAGGCTTTTATCCAAACGAGCTATGTGTTTTCAATGGAATGACTTAAAAACACCTCAAGGCAAAAGAAGGGGGGGAGAGAGAGAGAGAGATGGATGGGAGAAGCAGAGCCTGACAAAAAGACAGGCGATCACGTTGACACTTTTTTTTGAACTCCTCAGTTGAAGGGGTTTAAAATAAATAATTATTTTTCCATTTTTAAAAATTACATTCCCTCAAAAGCAGGCCCACAATTTTAGTATGCAGCATTTGCTAATTAAGACAACACTGATGGCAGACCAAATTATATATGTATATTAAAATTGGCTAATGTATCACTTCATCTTGGTCCCTCCTAGGGATGAATGGATCGCCATATTCCCATCCTATAATGCTTTCATTTTTATTGCTGTTATTCATTCATTCATTCATTCTTTCATTAGCTGCTTACTACAAAAAGTGACACAGTTTTAAAAGCATGCATAAGTTTTAAAATACCTCAACCTAACTGCATTATGATGATGATGATGATGATGATGATGATGCTTACATGCCAAAATGGCTTCTAAGAGGTTTATCCTTTAGCCAAAAAAAGGCTCTCATAGTGGCTGACAAAAATGAGTTCTAATGCGACCCCTGTTCTCAGGCTCACATAAGAAGCCATGGCACGCCAGGAAAAAACAATAGTTGGGAAGAAGGGAAAGCAAGGTCAAGCACATGTTCTTAAATATATAGTTCTACAAGTCATAGCCTGTGTCAGTGGTGGTTCTAGCCATCTTGCCTTTGATAAAGAGAAGTCCCTTCCCTAAAGCCCTCTTCCTCCTCCAGATCAGATTCAAGAGCAGAGTTGGGGGCAACGTCCAGGCTAGGAAAAACCAAGGAAGTTCTTGCCATACATTACTTCCCTCAGGCAGCGAACAGCAGGGACTGCCCTGCTTAAAGTGGAGTCTGGCCCCTGAGACACACTGCCCAATGGTAGGGCCAGCACTAATTGCAAAGGATGCAATAAACACCCAAGCAAGCGCCACCATCTTTTCTTTTTTTTTGCTGCACGGACCATAAGTATCAACTAAACAAAACAGGCATCCATGACAATACCTGATGAAATTACACCGATCTTGCCTTTCTCTCTTTCTCAACTTCCTTTACTATTTTGTCAGGAGAACAGCCTCCAAAAGCATCCCTCTCAATCACAACACAAATTTCGGAGCAATCAAAATATCAATCAATCACACACTGCATCTTTATCGCAGCTGTTAACGCGAACAATTGGAGAGCAGACTTGAGCAGACAGAGCGCTGGAGGAAATGATTGGAAAAGGAGCACCTGTTATGTATTCAGTGGTCTGTGTTTGCCTGAGCTTGAGTCTAGATCAAGGATTCTGACCCCTTGTGTTCTGATTCAATACATGATATCCAACCAGAGAACATTTCAGGATTTGGGCCACTGCCATTGGCCCTTAAACTCTGATTCATGATTCGCAGCTTGGAAGTTTAAACAGTCAATCATGTTGGGAGTGGGAGTGGCCCAGGCCTTCAGAAATATACAGTGGTACCTTGGTTTGCATACGTCTTGGTTTGCATACTTTTGGATTACAAACACATCAAACCCGGAAGTGTGAGTCCCGGTTTGCAAACTTTTTTGGGATTACAACCCATTTTTTTTTTGGATTACGAACAAATTTTTTTGGGAGGCCCCATTGGCGAAAGTGCGCCTTGGGTTACAACCTGCTTTGGTTTACAAATGGACCTCTGGAACAGATTATGGTTGTAAAGGGACCCCTGACCGTTAAGTCCAGTCATGGCCGACTCTGGGGTTGCGGTGCTCATCTCACTTTATTGGCCGAGGGAGCCGGCGTACAGCTTCTGGGTCATGTGGCCAGCATGACTAAGCCACTTCTGGCGAACCAGAGCAGCGCATAGAAACACCGTTTACCTTCCCGCAGGAGCGGTACGTATTTATCTACTTGCACTGGCGTGCTTTCAAACTGCTAGGTTGGCAGGAGCAGGGACCGAGCAACGGGAGCTCACCCTGTCGCAGGGATTCAAACCGCCAACCTTCTGATCGGCAAGTTCTAGGCTCTGCAGTTTAACCCACAGCGCCACCCGCGTCCCTTGTAAACCAAGGTACCACTGTATATAAGCAGTTGCTTTGCCCCTGCTGTCCAGTTCTGTTAGTTCAATAAAGGTTCTTGCTGTTATCTCTGTGTCTTGCCTCCTGGGAACTGATACGGTAAACGGGGGGGGGGTCCACCCTCCCACGTCCGAAACGATGACCTCAAGAGCGCCCACTACACTATGCACCCCTTCCCCAGCCTCTTCACTGTCGCACAAGCACCACACACAACCCTTTTCCCCTTTTCCACGGGCGAAATAAGCCCAAAACTCCCAAGCCCCTATCCCTTCTCTCGCTCCATCTTTATTATGAGTCGACCGTGTCAAAATACATCCCCGTTTGTTCCAATGGCCGCGTCTTGACCAATCAGGTACGTGCATCTGCTCTGCAGAACCAGCTCAGCGAGCCTCTGCACGCCTCATTTAACCTCTTGACAAGCTGCTGACAGCTCCCGCTGAGAGAACAATGGAATCGAAACTCGTAACCTCGTAAAACTGTCAAACCTTGTTACAATGTATCCAGTTTAGCTCGTAAAACTGTCAAATGTATCTAGTTTGTTTCCGTTTTCTATTATTATTGTAAGAATGGACGAAATAGACTGAAAACTTCTTAAATTCATATAAAATCAACCCCTTCTCCGATTTCCTTGGTTCTGGTGTCAATCGACTCAGCCTTTCCAGGACTCCATAATCCCTCGAGCGAGGAGTCACGTACTCAGGAAGACCTTAATCTGGTCAGATCACCTCGCCCAGCCCTACCTCCGGGCAATACCAGGTGGCAGACTTTACATATTCGGACCATTGTCTTCTCATCACCGGTACTCAGGAAGTGCTTATCTATGCATATCTTCAGCTCTGCATATTCCCTCCTCCCTGTCCTCTATGCTAATCCGTGTAACCCAACCTCTCTGTGATATCACCCATGTAACCCAACCTCTTTGTAATGTATTCATGACGCGTTTCGCACTGTATTATGGGACATGGAGGGAAGTTTCAAAAACTCCTGTCACCCCTTACTCGGGGTTCAATTTCATCTTGAACCTGTTGCGCAATAAACTTGGATTTCCTGGAACTTGCTCCCGTCTCCGGCTGAGCTCATTTTCTCCCGCAGGGACCCGCGGACTCAGTCCGACGAGCTGGGTGGCAGAGTAACCCCGCACCCAGATTTTACCGTAACAGTTGGCGCCCAACGTGGGGCTGGCGGTTCTCCCGAACTGCTGACCGGGGCCCCGAAATCTTCAGCCGGCTCCGGGCCATTTTGCCTGGGAAGATCCTTTTGGACCTCCGGCCATCTTCCGGGCGGTAATCGAAAGCCCTAGGAGTTCAGCCGGGGAGCAAAGAGGGATCCAGCCGGCTTATTCATCGATCCCGGGATCATCGTAGAAGACGCGTGAGTATAGGAAAATCCAGTGCACTGGTGGGTAGGGGTGGAAGTCTCCTGGCAACTGAATTCTCTGCCCTCCTCTCTATCGTTCCTTCTCACCTTTCTCTTGGTCCGGTTAGCGAGAAAGACCGTGGACCACCGCTCGACCCGAAAGGGGGGTTCTGAGCTCTATCTCTTTTCTGAACCCTCCAGCCAGCCGCACCAATTGGGAGCCCGTAAGTAAGACGGAGAGAACCGACTTCAAAATAAGCCGACTCTCCGCAACGGGCATCTCAGTTGAAAGCAAGGGGTTGGAGTTCTCTTTCCGAGCTTCCCGAGCGTCCTTCCTAGGAGGCAGGAAGTGGTCTAGCTTTTCTATCCCAATCCCAGCCGCACCGGTCGGACCACGTGCATCGTGAGCCCGCTTCCGAAAGCAAGGGGGATTTTCGATTCGGAAACCTATCCGGGGACCACCCGATCTGGCACCGCACAGCGCGGGCGTCCAGTAGGGCTCCCTTTTCTGAGATTGTAACGCTAGGTAGGAGGTTGCCAGGAGGGATAGCTCATGAGGAATTGGGCGGGTTTGGCAGAGTGGAAAGGGACCCCTGATTGTTAATTAAGGACAAGGAGGAAATTAGGAAAAGAGAACTAAATATTAAGAGCTCACTAAATCGTTAAGAGGTTGCCAAGCAACGAGAAAGATACCCAGGCCCCTATAAACCCTTACCGACCCTATATCTCTCTCCCTTTTTCTACCCAGACACGCGTGAACCATAAAATGGGTACCCAGGCTTCCAAGCACGAGCGGGCTCACTCTGGGAGGAAGGCTTCTAGAAAGCCATCCCGGTCCCAGAGGGACCCTGACTCTCCTCTCGAATTTGTAATCATCCATTGGAAGTCAATTCCTGGCCACAAACTTCTATCGAAGCAAAAACTAGAGAACCTCTGCACAGAAATCTGGCCCGCCAACACCACTTCCGCCCGACCAGAATTACGTTGGCCCAAGGGAGGTTCGTTTAACGAAGACCGACTGAAACACCTAAGGAGACACTTAATGGAAGAAAAACCCCGCCAGTTAGAATATTTGGCAGCCTTCGAGACAGTTAAAGGATTACTCCAAGTCTCGAAGGGAGCACCATCGTATCAGCTGCCCATATTAAATCCCGGAAGGCAGCCTATGCCCCCCCCTTACGAAGGACACTTCGCTGATGATACAGTAGAACAAGCCCTGGTTCCCTTCTACTATAGGGAACCGACACCACCCATCCCTAGCGATAGCTCGGATAGTGACGAAGAAACGGGGGATGGAGGGGCACGAGGAAGTAAGAACCAGAGGCTCACGAGGTTACAAGCCAGAAAGAACAACCCCATCGTAGAAACCCGTAGCCTTACAGAGCGCCCTATAGAAGAAACCGAAGAAACCCGGGAACTTCTGGACAGGAAAGTTCCACAGCGGTCCAGATGCCCCTAAGGGCCCTACCGATTCCGCCCATCCAACCCGACGGGGCTCCCCGGATGGTTTATACGCACCAGCCCTTTTATACTGCCGACCTAGTAACCTGGTCAAATCAAATGCCCTCTCTAAGGGATGACCCAGATAAATGCCATCGCCAGATCAGCGCCATCTTTTCCACTCACAACCCCACTTGGCCAGATGTCCACGTTCTTTTAAACGCCCTATTCAATGAAGCTGAAAAGGCGGACATTCTGACCAAAGCCGGAGAGGCCATAGAGTCACCGGACTACCAGAGGGGACGTCCCGCGGCATTAGCGGCCCTCTCAGCCCAGTGCCTGCGTATAGAACCTACATGGGACTACAATACCACCAACGGGATTTGGTGCTTAAATCTATTTAAAAGGGCTATCTTAGACGGTGTAAAAGCCGCTGGACAGCGTACTGTCAACTGGACCAAGGTCCAAACTGTACTACAGGGACCAAATGAACATCCATCGGATTATTACACTAGACTGGTCTCCGCCATCAAGACCTGGGGAGGGATAGACCCGGAGAACCCCCAACATGAAGTAATCGTTAAGGGTTTCTTCAAAGACCAGGCCAGCCCAGATATAAGAAAAGCCCTGAATCTCCAAATAGGATATGATGGGAAGAGCGTTAGCGAAATCTTATCCATCGCCAAATCAGTTTATAACTCTCGGGATGAAAGGAAACGAAAGGAAGCAAAACCTGAGACTGAACACATCTTAGCGCTGAGCATGGAGCCTAACTCCAGCCGGGGCAGAAGTTTTAACCGAGGAAGAGGGGGCCGGGGAGGAGGACCCCCCGCTCCCCACAGACCATGGGGACCCAACACCGGAGGATGCTATTACTGCCAAGAAGAGGGACACATAAAGAGGTTTTGCCCCTACCTAAACCCCACAACCTATGGAGTACAAGGCTCTAAACCCTTTCCGGCTCAGACCAATTATCCTCCTTTCCCGATGCGCCCACATTCCAACATAACCCAGGGATATGGCAACCAACAACCCACTATGCAAGCACCTCCAAACCACCGACCTCAACCGGGCACACAGGTTCAAATGCCCGCTATGACTCCAGCCACTCATTCTTGGGCAAATGCCACCGCTCCTCCCTTACACCCCCAACCAGCCACCTCCTGAAGATCAAGACACATACTGACAATTAAAGGGAATCTCAGTCCGGCCCAAGCCATCTACCCTGTCCTAGCATTATCGCCAGATGACCCTATCTGCACGATTGAGATCGATGGCCACCCCTATCGATGTTTATTAGATACGGGAGCTACGTACTCGACCCTGACTAGCAGCCACCTAGAACCCGGGTCAGAAACCAAGAAAGTTATGGGACTGGACGGGATACCCCGCACTTGCCCTCTCTCACAACCGGCCAAAGTCACCCTCGGACCCTTATTGGCGGAACACACCTTCCTCCTAACGAGCAGCCCAGTGAATCTCCTTGGCAGAGACCTACTCTGCAAACTCAATGCCACCATAAAATGTTCTGAAGATGGCATCTACCTGTACATGCCCGAAGACTCTGTCCCTGCCTTTCAAGGCATGGTATTAGAGGAAAAATTAGATCGCCAGTTTCCCGAACTTCCCCCAGAACTAGAGAATGAATTACCCCCTTCACTGTGGGGCACGGAATCAACTTCTGTAGGATTGCTATTATCTGCCACCCCGGTAAGGATTACCTATAGAACTGATCGGCCCTTCCCTTGCACCAAGCAATACCCTCTACCCAAAGAAGCAATCGACGGACTGACACCTATGATAGAAGATTTCCTCAGCAAAGGGATCCTTGTTCCCTGTGCGTCACCTTGTAACACCCCAGTGCTCCCCATAAAGAAACCCTCCACAGAAGGAGCCCCAGTCCGGTACCGTTTTGTCCAAGACCTAAGACTGGTAAACCAATTCGTAATACCCCGCCACCCAGTCGTGGGCAACCCTAACTCCCTCTTAAATGCCATCCCGGCGGGAACAACCTGGTACTCTGCAGCGGATCTATGCTCCGCCTTCTTCAGTATACCCTTGGACCCCGCCAGCCAATTCCTTTTTGCATTTACCTGGGGACCCAGCCAGCTAACTTGGACAAGGCTGCCCCAAGGCTACGTAGAATCACCCGCGATCTTTTCCGCCATATTACACCAGGACCTACAGGACGTGTGCCTGCCTGCTAACTCCGCCCTCCTTCTCTACGTAGATGATATTTTATTGTGCTCTACTAGTGAAGAGGCATGCAAATTAGACACCAAATATCTCCTCTCAGAACTAGCCCGGAAAGGACACAAGGTGTCCCCTAAGAAGTTACAATATTGTAAACAGGAAGTAAAATACCTCGGACACATCCTAGGAGTGGGTACCCGAAGCCTAGCCACCGACAGAATCGAGGCCGTTACCAGAATTCCCCTCCCTAAGACTAAGCGGCAATTACGCGGCTTCCTTGGTATGGCAGGCTTCTGCCGAGCATGGATTGCCGGCTATAGCGAAATAACGAAGCCTTTAACCGCTATGACCCGCCAAGACCACCCAGATACCCTGGTCTGGGAAGAGGAAGCTTATAAATCCTTCGAACGCTTAAAAAGAGAATTACGGTCCGCTCCTGCTTTAGGACTGCCAGACTACCGGACTCCTTTTAACCTGTTCATCCATGAACAAATGGGAGTCGCCTCAGGGTCCTAACCCAACCCTTCCGAGATCAGGAAAGACCAGTAGCCTATTACAGTCTACAACTAGACAACACCGCAAAGGGAGCAGTGAGTTGTTTAAGAGCTATTGCCGCCGCTGCGATCCTCCTTGAGAAAGCCCAGGAAACAGTCTTGGGACATGAAATTACCATCCATGTTCCCCACTCGGTCTCCACCCTCTTAACCTTGAGAGGTTGTCATCACTTCTCAAACTCTCGCCTAAACCGATACGAAGCCCTTCTATTAACCCCATCTAACGTCACCATCAAACGCGTCAATTCCCTGAATCCAGCTACCCTATTACCCCTTCCTGATGATGGCACCCCACACCACGACTGCGCTACCATAGTCCGCCAAGCCGAGAAACCGCGGGAGGATCTAGACCACCTTCCCTTAGAAAACCCTGACCTCATACTGTACACTGATGGCAGCTCAAAGGTCATCGAAGGGGAAAGGAAGACAGGGTACGCAGTCGTCTCTGACTTTGAAGTCCTGGAATCCAACCCAATTAACCCACAGTATAGCGCCCAAGCCGCTGAATTAATTGCACTCATACGTGCTTGTGAACTTGGCGAAGGGAAGAGAACCACCATTTACACGGACAGTAAATACTGCTTCGGGCTCGTACACACAACCGGTCAAATTTGGCTTCAAAGGGGCTTCTTAACTGCAGCCGGCTCCCAAATTTCACACGCCGCCCTAGTAGAGAGACTTCTTACAGCCATTCACTTACCGAGTGCAATAGCAGTAGTCCACTGTAAAGCACACACCAAAGGGAGGGACCCGGTCTCGAAGGGAAACAGACGGGCTGATAAAGCTGCCCAAATTGCTGCCCTTCGCCCCCCAAATAATGAGTCCGAATTTCAAGCCTTACAATTACCTACAGACATAGACGCAACACAAATATATGATTCAGCCCCAGAGGAGGAAAAATCAAAATGGGAATCCGTGGGCGCAACTGAACAGAATGGTATTTGGACCCTCCCGATGGCAGGACAGTCCTTCCAAGAGCCTGGGTTCCAAAAT